TTGGCGTATCATACGCCACTTCGGCGTACGAGGCACGGAGAAGGAGGGTCTCTTCCACACAGAAGCCACTGGATTTTGGCGTACCATAAGCCAATATGGAGTATGAGGCGCGGATAATCCTTTACTTTTCTCACAAATTTTTCACTCACATGAAATCTTCACAACCACATTCTTAAATTAAAATACACCATCTCAAAAAAAAAGAAAAAAAAAATTAACCTAAAAAATAAAATAAATATATATATATATATATAATTGAAAAACTTATTGGGTTCCCTCTAGATTAGCGCTTGTTTTACGTCTCAAGCCTGACGCGGACAATTTAAGTCTCGGATGAAGCAAGAGGGACAAATATTTTATCCCTGTTTACTTGTCCTCCATAATATAATTTCAACCTACAGTCATTAACCTTGAAAGGGTTGTCAGTATCAATAGGAGAAATTTTAACAGTACCATATGGAAGACCTTTTTAACAATAAATGGACCTGACCAGAGGGTTTCGAGCTTACCTGGGAACAACCTCAGTCGAGAGTTGTATAACAATACATGTTGTCCTGGTTCAAAGTCTTTTGAGATGATCTTCTTATCATGCCATTTCTTTGTCTTTTCCTTGTAAATCTTGGAATTCTCATATGCAGCTAATCTGAACTCCTCTAATTCATGTAATTGCAACATTATTTTCTCATTAGCTTTAGTCGGTTCAAAATTAAGAATTCTTGTTGCCCACATAGCTTTATGTTCTAATTCAATAGGGAGATGACAAGACTTACCATATACTAATTGGAAAGGTGACATACCTATGGGAGTCTTAAATGATGTCCTATTTTCCCAGAGTGCATCATCAAGCTTCCTTGCCCAATCTTTTATGGAGCTTCCCACATTCTTCTCCAGGATTCTCTTCAGCTCTCTGTTGGAGATCTCTACTTTCCTGCTTGTCTGAGGATGATACAGTGTGGCTACTTTGTGTGTAACTCCATACTTTGAGAGCAGGCTATCAAATTGCTTATTGCAAAAGTGGGTTCCTCCGTCACTGATGATTGCTCTAGGTACTCCAAATCTGGTGAGGATGTTCTTCCGCAGAAAAGACACCACCACCTTAGCATCATTTGTAGGTAGAGCCACTACTTCCACCCACTTGGACACGTAGTCTATAGCTACCAGAATGTATTGGTTGGAATATGACTTGGGAAATGGTCCTATGAAGTCAATCCCCATGCACCAAATACCTTCACATCTAGTATGCGATTCAAAGGCATCTCATCTCTTCGGGAAATGTTTCCCGTCCTCTGGCATCTGTCACACTTTTCCACGCACTCTCGCGCATCTTTGAATATAGTGGGCCAGTAAAACCCACTCTGTAGGACCTTCTGCGCAGTTCTATTTCCACCAAAGTGTCATCCATAATCGAATGCATCGCAGTGCCACAAGATCTCTGAAATCTCAAACTCAGCCACACACCTGCGAATAATTTCGTCAGCACATTGGAAATATAAAAATGGATTATCCCAGTGGTACCTCCTTGCATCATGAAGGAACTTCTTTTTCTGCTGCCATGTAAGATCTTCAAGAAGTGCTTCGGCAACTTTGTAGTTTGCGAATTTTGCACACCATGGTCCAATGAGGACTGCCATTACTTGTTCATCAGGGCAAGATTCCTTGATTTCTATTTCAGGTCCATCTTGTAATTCTTTATCTTGAATACTTGACAAGTGGTCAACTACTTTGTTTTCTACTCCCTTCTTATCTTGGATCTCCAAGTCGAACTCCTGAAATAACAGCATCCAACGCAGCAAGCGTGACTTTGCATCCTGTTTATTCATTAAATACTTCAAGGCAGCATGATCAGTAAAAACAACAATTTTTGAACCAATCAAATAAGGCCTAAACTTATCCAATGCATAAACTACTGGCAACATTTATTTTTCAATTGTGGCATAATTAATTTGTGCCTCATTTAAAACCTTGCTACCATAGTAAATCACATGTAATAATTTATCCTTACGCTGGCCAAGAACAGCTCTTATTGCGTATGCGCTCGCATCACACATGAGTTCAAATGGAAGACTGCAATCAGGTTCCATCAAAACATGTGCAGTTGTAAGCTTTTCCTTCAAAACATTAAAGACAGTCAAACAATCTTCATCAAAGAAAAAATCAATATCTTTTACCAAGAGTTGACTCAAAGGCTTTGCAATCTTGGAGAAGTCTTTGATGAATCTTCTGTAGAAACCTGCATGGCCTAAGAAACTTCGAACACCATTAACATTAACGGGAGGGGGAAGTTTTTCAATTAATAACAATTTAGCTCTATAAACTTCTATCCCCTTTTCAGAAATTTTATGGCCTAAAACTATTCCATCTTTCACCATAAAATGGCATTTTTCCCAGTTTAAAACTAAATTCGTTTCTTGACAACACTTCAAAACTTTAGATAAATTAACTAAGCATGAATCAAAACAAGAACCAAATACAGAAAAATCATCCATAAATACCTCTAGACATTTCTCTATCATATCAGAAAAGCTGGAAAATATGCACCTTTGAAAAGCAGCAGGTGCATTGCAGAGGCCAGACGACATTCTTCTGTAGGTGAATACTCCAAAGGGGCACGTGAATGCTATCTTCTCTTGATCTTCTGGTGCCATAGGAATTTGATTGTAACCAAAGCAACCATCTAAGAAGCAGTAGTAGGCGTGCCCGGATAATCTCTCCAGCATCTGATCAATGAAAGGGAGGGGAAAGTGATCTTTTCTTGTGGCGTCATTTAGTCTTCTATAATCCACACACATCCTCCATCCCGTTATGGTTCTCGTGGGAATCAACTCATTGTTTTCATTCTTTTTCACGGTAACTCCACCCTTCTTTGGCACTGTTTGAAACCTATGCAATATCTGAGATTGGGTAAATCATACCTGCATCAAGGAGCTTTACTACTTCCTTCCGAACCACTTATTTCATTGTGGGATTGAGTCGTATCTAAGGTTGTCTCACAAGTTTGATGTTATCTTCTATAAGGATCTTTTGAGTACAAAAAGGAAGGATTAATTCATTTTAAGTCAGAGATGGGCCACCCAATGGCTGTCTTGTGGTCCTTGAGTACTTCCATCAACTTTATTTCTTCAAAATTAGATAGCTCCTTGTTGATGATGACTGGATAAGTTTCTGCATCTCCGAGGAATACATATTTAAGAGTGGAAGGAAGTTCCTTTAACTCTACCTTTGGTGCTCCCACAGTGAGGTCTGACTCCTTTTTCTTTAACTCTTCCAATAGAATTTCAGAACTTTCTTTTGGAGAGTTTTCATCAAAGAACTTCATCTCTTCATTAGGGTCTGATCATCAGCTTTATTCTCGAAGAGAAACTCCTCTAAAATGTCCACACGGAAGCAGTCATTATTATCTTTAGCATGCTTTATGGCATCAAACACATTAATGGTGACCTTTTCATCATCCATTCTCAGCTCCAATTTTCCTTTCTCTACATCTATCATTGCTCTTGCTGTGGCGACGAAGGGTCGACCCAATAGAAGGGGCATATCTCCTTCTTCGTCCATGTCTAGGACCACGAAATCTGCAGGGAAGATGAACTTGTCGACTTTGACAAGAACGTCTTCAATTACTCCGTTTGGTCTTCTCATAGATCTATCAACAAGTTGTAGAGATACCATTATCGGCTTCAGCCGAAAATTATGAGGGACTTCATCACTGATAGTGGCATGAGGTTGATGCTTGCTCCAAGATCGCACAATGCCCGACCAACATTAATGTTGCCTATCACAATCGGGATATTGAAACTCCCTGGATCTCAAAGATTTGGTGGAAACTTCTTCTGAATAATGGCACTGCACTCCTTTGTGAGAGCCACTGTCTCGAATTCCAGCAATTTATGCTTTCTAGACAAGAGGTCTTTCATAAACTTAGCATAGTTAGGCATGTTAGCTAAAACTTCAACAAAAGAAATATTAATTTGCAACTTTTTATGCATATCTAAAAACCTGGCATATTGTTGCTTTTTTGCTTGTTGCTTTAGCTAATGGGATACAGAGGTTTCTCAAAGTGAGAGAAATCCCATTGCTTCTTCGGAGCTTCAAAAGTTTGCTCATTTGCCTCTCCTTTGTCTTTTTGAACTGACTCTTTGTTGTTTGCAGGTGTTTCCATTCTTTTTCTTGCTCATCTTCTTTATTGAGCTCAACATCTATCTTTTCCTGGAATACTTTCGGCTTTTCTTGAGGTGTAATCACAATTCCACTCCTTATGGTGATTGCCTTGCAATGCTCTCGCGGATTAACTATGGTGTCACTTGGAAACTGGCCTCGAGTCCTTTCAGCTAGTTGTCTCGACAGCTGGCCAATTTGATTTTCTAAGTTTATGAGAGATGCATCTTGATTTTTGTGATGAGACCTTGTCTCATTCATGAAGGTGTCAGTTGTCTTTGTCAACTGCAGTAATGCTCTCTTTAGTTTAGATGGTTGAGTCTGTGGAATTGGAGGAGGTTGTAAATATTGATTCGACTTGTAATCGAGGCCTCCTTGATTCTTTCACCTGGGGTTAAAAAATTCCCCGCAATATTAGTCTGAGTTCTTTGAGGATTTGGCTGAGTCCTCTGATCATAGCAGATCCCATTGACTTGAATCAGATTTGCTCCTGCGAGTATGTTGCACTCATTGGTTTCATGTTCTCCTCGACAGTATTCACAGGAGATTGCCTTTGCTTGATCTGAAGATGGATGAAGCTTTTCAAACTTGCTATTCAAAATAGCCATCTGTTGTGAAAGTAGTTTTTGTTCAGCTAGCATGGCATCATTGCTTTCTAAGTGCAGGACTCTTCTCTCTTCGGCTGAGTTGCTATACTCTCATTCTCCATCCTTTCCATAGACTCAATCAACTCAAGTGTCTGAGTAGGTGACTTTTGCCTGATAGAACCTCCAGTTACACCATTGACCATCCTTCTTGAAGATGGTGTCATCCTGTTGAAGAATATTCGAACTTTTTCTCCGGGTCGCAACTCGTACTGAGGGCACCTTCTGAAAAGCTCCTTGAATCGTTTCCAAGCTGCACACAAGGTCTCTCCATCAGATTGGATGAAATTGGTGATTTCATTCACCAGCTTGTTGTATTTTGTCATTGGAAATAACTGAGCTAGGAATTTTGTAGCCAGATCTTCCCAAGTGTTGATGTTATTTGCTGGTTGCTGCTCTAACCATCTGAGTGCTGCATCTGTTATCGTAAATGAAAATAACCGTAGTCGCAATGCATCCTCTGATACTCCGTTGTTCTTGACAGTGTTATAAATCATCCAAAATCTGTCAGAAACTCGTGAGGATCTTTTGTGTCCTCTCCTTTGAACTGAGATCGCTCAATCAGTGTGACCAACGCTGACTTGATTTCAAAGTTGTTGGTCGTGATCGCTGTTTGGTCTTTTGAAATTAGGAGTAAGGGTTGACTCCATCAACTCCTCTTCATGATCTGGCTAATTATTTTCAGCCATCTTGAGTTCTACTTTTGGCTGTGAACTCGGGGATTCCTCTTGCTTCTTTTGCTTGGTGAGTTTCCTATTCTTCTTTGTAGTCTTCTCAATTTCTGGATCAAACTGTAAAGATTCACGATCAACTTTACCCCGCAGAAAATAAGAGAAATCAGATCAGTAAAAAAAATAAAAATAAAATCCAATCTCAAAGATCGAAAGTTATGAATAATATTGGCGTAATTAATTCCCGGCAACGGCGCCAAAAACTTGTTGCGATTTTGGCAAGTATACCAATCTTTCAAGTAATAAAAGTGATAAAAAAGTATCATTCCCACGAGGATTAATGTACCAAGTATTATTATAACTAGTCCCTTTAATTTGGAAAATTTAGTTTGGTTGAGAAAATAGATTTTGAAACAAAATTAAAGTAATTAAATTTAAATGCAGTAATAATCTAGAACAATCAAGAATAATCAAGAACGCAAGAATTGATATGAGTAAAGAATGTAAGGAAACTATAGCCAGGATGCACTTGACCTTCGATCCTCCTAGAGTAGTTTAAATTAAATTCAATAATAATTCATCTCAGATATTTTAGACAATTCATCTTCTGAAAATAGTTGGTTAAATTCTAATATCTTAGTGACTTTAACCCTTTACTCTAATTAGAATCCTAATGTCTTAGTAATTCCTCTTAGAATAAGTATTAGACGCAATGAATTATGAAGTCTACAACGCAAGCAAGCCTATGTCTAGATCATGCAAGAATTGGTATTTTACCCCTGTCAGGATTAAATCCCCAATATATCTATTGTAAGCCCTAACCCTCAAATGCCTATAAGAGTGATCAATTCATACAAGGATATAGAAATTCATGCAAGGTAAAACATAAATAACTGAAACAATTTATTAAAGAAATAAATTTAAACCACAAATAGGATTCACGTCGGATTCATGATCCAAACTACAAAAGAAAATTAGCCAGACATAATTGGCTTAAACAAAACAAAGAAAGTAGAAGAAATCATAATGAAGAATAAGAAGAAGAAGAAGAAGAATCAATGTTGCTCAGTCTCCTTCAAGCTCCTCTCTATGAAATCTCCAACTCTGGTATCCAGTGTTCTCCTTCTTCCTCTCAATTTGCTTGCCTCTTTCGAATTGTGTCTTTGAGATTCCAAGAGATGCCTTTTTATAGGGATGAAACCATATCTTTTAATTTTCCATAATATCTTCAATGGAATCTTCACTAAAATCTCTAATCATATCTTTAATCCAATCCTTAAATCTTTCCCTTTTTATTTAATGGAAAAATTTCCTTAAAAATATCCAAAGGAAGATTTGATAAGATCTTCAATGATTCAGAAATCCAAAGCAATTCTACTTGATCTCTCCAATTTATCTTTTTATTGAGCTAAAATTTACTGCAAAATATAAGAAATTTTATGAGAATATTATTAAGAATAAAATAACAATTTAATTATAATTCTCATAAATTTTAATTCATTTTAAATTAGTTTCATGCTCATATTGAGCCTTAATACATAGTAAATTGGAGACTCATCACTTACTTCCTCTGTTCCAATGCATGATGACAAACCTGAAAAACTCAATGGGACTAATTTCAAGTGTTGGCAACATAAAATGTTGTTCTATTTGACAACTCTGAGTCTAGAATGTTTCCTCAAGGAAGATGCTCCTAAATTGGATGAGGGAGAACAACCTGACAAGGAAAAGGTTGCTTCCATTGATGCATGGAAGCATTCTGACTTCCTTTGCCAAAACTATATTCTCAATGGTCTAGACAACACATTGTATAATGTGTACAGTACCCTGAAGACTAGTAAGGAACTTTGGGATAGTTTGGACAAGAAGTATAAAACTGAGGATGCTGCCTTAAAGAAATTCTTAGTTGGCAGATTCTTGGACTTCAAGATGCAAGACTCCAAATCTGTTGTGAGTTAAGTTGAAGAACTTCAAGTGATTGTGCATGAAATTTATGCAGAAGGAATGTCTCTCTGTGAGTCTTTCCAAGTTGCTGCTTTCATAGAAAAATTACCAAATTCTTGGAAAGATTTCAAGAATTATATCAAGCATAAGCGCAAGGAATTGTCACTTGAAGATCTGATTATGAGATTGAGGATGGAGGAAGATAATAAGATTTATGATAAGAAGAATGGCAAAAATCCTATAGTTTCTGAGGCTAATGTGGTTGAAGAGGGATCAAAGTCAAAGAAGAGGAAATATTCTGAAGATGGAAATGCTAAGCAAGGAAAGGGAAAAAAGTTCAAAGGCAACTGTTACAACTGTGGGAATCCTGGCCACAGTGCAAAGGACTGTAAGAAAGAACAAAAGAAAGATCAGAGGAAGCCACAAAAATTCAATAATAAGAAGAAGACCACTCAAGCCAACATGGTTGATATTGCTGATAAGGTTGAACAACTGAATCTGGCAGCAGTGGTGATGGAGTGCAATCTAATGGGAGATACTAAGGACTGGTGGATGGACACTGGTGCCACCAGACATGTCTGTTCAAACAAGTAGATGTTCTCCTCTTATACTCTTACTAATAATGATGAGAAGCTTTATATGGGTAATTCATCTACTTCAAAAGTTGAAGGTGTGTGTAAAGTGGATATGAAGATGACATCTGGCAAGATAGTGACACTCAATTATGTGCTCCATGTGCCTGATATTCGCAAGAACCTAGTTTATGGATCTTTGTTGAGCAAGAATGTCTTTAAACTTGTTTTTGTTTATGATAAGTTTGTACTTACTAAGAATGATGTGTATGTAGGAAAGGGTTACCTTAGTGAAGGCCTTTTCAAACTGAATGTGATGACTGTAAACAATACCAATAATATTAATAATACTACTACTTCTGTTTACTTGCTTGAGTCTTCTAATTTATGGCATAATAGATTAGGACAAGTTAATTTAAAATCAATTAAGAATTTAATTCATTTAGACTTACTGCCTAAATTTGAATGTATAAATAAAAAGTGTCAAGTATGTGTTGAATCAAAATTTTCAAAATTACCTTTTAAATCGATTGAAAGATCAACCGAGTTGTTAGATTTAATACATACTGATATATGTGACATGAAATCTACACCATCTACGGGTAATAAGAAATACTTTATTACGTTTATTGATGATTGCAGTAGATATTGTTATGTGTACTTACTTAATAGTAAAGATTAAGCTATTGTTGCTTTTAAGCAATATAAAAGTGAAGTTGAAAATCAACTTAACAAGAAAATTAAAATAGTAAGGAGCGATCGTGGGGGAGAATATGGCCCCTTCAAGGAATTCTATATAGAGTCTGGTATTATACACCAGACAACAGCTCCATATTCACCGTAATCAAATGGGATTGCAGAAAGGAAAAATTGGACTTTGAAAGAAATGATGAACGTTATGTTAATTACGTCCTATTTAGCACAGAATTTGTGTGGCGAAGCTATTTTGACGGCTAACTACATTATAAATAGAGTGCCTCACGAAAAAGACAAAGAGCATACCATACGATGTATGGAAAGGAAAGAAACCATCCTTGAAATACTTTAGAGTGTGGGGGTGCTTGGCTAAGGTTGCGATTCGTAAACCTAAAAGGTTAAAAATCGGACCTAAAACCGTGGATTGTGTATTCATTGGTTATGCACTTAATAGTAGTGCCTATCGGTTTCTAGTTTATAAATCTGATGTCTCAGATATACACATTAATACGATTATTGAGTCAAGGGAAGTTACTTTCTTTGAAGACGTATTTTCGTACAATAAAGTACATGAATCAAGTGGTAATAATGAAAATAACATTATGATACCTCGGGATACTACAACTAATATTGATCCTGTAGAGGTAGAAGATGAACCTAGACGTAGCAAGAGGCAAAGGACAACCACATCTTTTGGACCTGATTTTATGACGTATCTGATAGAAAATGAGCCTCGGATATATAAGGAAGCTATAACGTTCCCAGAAGCACCATTATGGAAAGAGGCTATCAATAGTGAGATGGAGTCTATCCTGTCCAACCACTCTTGGAAATTGATAAACCTTCCTCCTGGCAATAAGACTTTAAGAAGTAAGTGGGTATTCAAAAGAAAAATGAAAGAAAATGGCACTATTGATAAATATAAAGCTAGGCTTGTGGTAAAAGGCTACAAGCAACGTGAAGGTGTCGACTATTTCGATACTTATTCATCTATTACAAGGATCACATCCATTCGGATGTCGATCGCGGTAGCAGCATTGAATCAATTAGAAATACATCAAATGGATGTTAAGATCGCCTTCTTAAACGACGACCTAGAAGAAGAGATGTATTCAGAACAACCTGAAGGTTTCGTTGTTCCAGGACAAGATCAGAAAGTTTTTTGCTTAATAAAATCCCTTTACGGGTTAAAACAAGCTCCAAATCAATGGCATGCGAAATTCGATAAAGTTATGTTATCAAATGGATTTCGAATTAATGAATGCGACAAATGTGTCTATGTTCGAAATACTGAAAAAGGATTTGCTATTGTCTTTCTTTTTGCAGACAAGATGTTGATAATGGGTAGCAAAAATCAAATGATTGAGGCTACTAAACAATTACTTAAAAGTAAATTCGATATGAAAGATATGGGGATAGCAGACGTTA